CTTGTCCCTGCACTCACTCACTCCTTCCTTCCATTATTCCCTCCTTCACTTTCCCGTGGTCATGGTATATATATTATATATACCCACACACATAAACCCACAACAATCAAACAAAGAAAACCCAAACACCCTCCCCCCCTCAAAAACAAACTAGCAAAAAGAGAAAAACAAACAGCAAGAGAAAAAACAACAACCTTCAAACAGACTGTTTTTCTACCTGAAGACTACAGATGTGAACTTGGAGAGTAGTTTCTTCTTGAACAGTTTGGTGGTGAGTGTGTAGAGCAGTGGGTTGAGCGCTGAGTTGACCGGCAGGATGAACACGATGACCCAGGCGTACAGGGCGCCAGATATCTCCACGCCTGAACACAGGGGAACATGGTTCTCTGTTAGTTATTGGGGGACCGTACAGTAATAGGAGGAAGACAGATGCGTTATCTTAGAGACACAGAGGGACAGAAACAGGAGAGAAAAATGGTCGTTTTTAATTAAGGACAAACGGGCTGACCCAGATTTGGGGAGTTTCCAGATCAAATCTTGACCTACACCAAAAGTGGACATTGCCCTATCTATAGGAGAAGTTAGGTTTCATTGGTGTGTACATTTGTTTGGTTATAGAGAAAACTCTCCGTGTCTTTTAAAGAAACTGAACAAGGGACAAAAACTTTACCTTCGATTTTCTCAAAAGAGCATTTTTTCGGGAAAACCCTCTTGTGCTTAAAAGCGACCAAATATAAGTGGCACCATAGAACGAAAAGAGAGAAACATGTCCATGTTAGCCATTGGGGGAGATTAATATAAAAGTTTGTTCATGAGTTAGGTACTGAAAAAGTCATAGGGGAAAACGTCTCTGCTAGTCTTTCAGGGAGATCAGTTAAGTAGTTAAGTTTACTGGAGAAGTCAAAAGGTAATGTTTATGAGATATGGAGTGATAAAAGATAGAGGGAAACGTGGGTCTCTTAGTGTTGATTATAGGTTTGATTTATAATAATAATATCCTTGAATGAGAACTGTTATGGTCGTCACTATTTGCTCTCTATTGAAAAACTCCACTGCGTTGTAGCGCAAAACATCAATCTCGCTGTTACAATTCAAGTGAGCGTGCAACTTTTCCCTGCTTTTCCTTAATAATTTGGTGATACATAGAATCAATAGTGCTCTCAACAGTGAGCCGGAAATCAAGTCAGGAGTGCCCAGTATTGGATATTATAATACAACTTGTTTCTTTTTGGAAGGAGTTAGCTTATAAATCAGAGAGAGAGAGAGAGAGAGAGAGAGAGAGAGAGAGAGAGAGAGAGAGAGAGAGAGAGAGAGAGAGAGAGAGAGAGAGAGAGAGAGAG